CTTCTGGATTTGAAAAGAGTTGTAGTAATAAAGGAATATCTTTTCTGACATTAAAAAGTGACACTGGAGGGGCTGGAGAGATGACTCTGTGGTTAAGAACACTTCCTATTCTTCCAGAAGACTTGGGTTTGAGTCCCAGAGCCCACCTGGTAGCTAATAACTGTAACTCCAATTCCAGGGGATCCAACATCCTCTTCTGGCTTCTGCAGGCATTGCATGCATATGGTACACTTACATATATACAGGCAAAATACCCATACACATATAATAAAAATAATCAATAAAATATTTTTTTAAATGACACCGGAGAAAATGATAAACAATTGCACAAGTAGTTTATGGAGTGTTTGGATTATAATTATAAATAGCTCTTTGAAATGAAAATTAGTATTTTCAGTTGATTTTATTTTATGTCCCCATTTTTTTCTACATGAAAAGAGAATTCATGCTTTTATGTACAATAGCAAAGGCCTTCAGTTTCAATTTTTTAATTAAAAATTTGTTTCTCCCCGCCCCACAAGAGTTGGTTGTATGCCACAGTGAGTGTGTGGTGTGTGGGGGTCAGAGGACACATTTCAGGAGTATGTTCTCACCTTTGACCTTGTTGAGGCAGAGTCTGTCTTGTTTCTGCTGTGTTTTGTACTCAAGGCTAGCTGGCCTGGGAGTTTACAGGTGATTCTCCTGTCTCCACCTCTCATCTCACTGTAGGAGTTCGGGATTACAGATGTACACACAGATGCGTGTGGCTAGCACCTTTATCAGCTAAGCCATCACTCAGGTCCCTATTTTATTTTATTACTACCTTCTAGATATCTAGGTATCTTGGCTCCCTGTTAGGCTCTGCCCATAGGAAATGCTTGCAGGAGATGGGAGACTGGGGTGGGAGCAAACTCTGATCCTTGATGCTTGCTTCTGGCTTCTCCCATTTTTTCCTGCAATAATAGCTGTGTCTGCATGGCACTTTCCTATCATCTGTAGAATCAGCTTTTTATCATGTCCTCAGACACCCGATGAGCAATGAGTTCAAGTGTCTGATTCTAGAGGTGTGAACTAAACACACGGCAGTGGTGACATGGGGAGATCTGTGTGTGTCTCTGATCTCCATTAAATATGCAGATATGGACAAACACGTTTTGATGAAAACATGAAATGGTATATGACAAATGGCTTGAAAACACTGATGGGACTGGAGAGATGGTTCAGCAGTTAAGGGTGTGTACTACTCTTGTAGAGGACCTGAGTTTGGTTCCAAGCACCCATGGTCAGGCAGCTCACAACCATTCTAACTCCAGCTCTAAGGAGATCCAATGCCTTTTGTCTCCAAGGGCACCTGCACTCATGAGCACATGTCTACACACATGCAAACACACAATTAAAAATAAAAAGAAATCTTCAAAAGGAAAGCAAAGGGAATGTTGAGTTTTTGAACTTTCACAAAGTAACTTTTCTGGATTTTGTTCTGGATACCTACTAGAGTGGCCACCTTCTTCTCTCTGATGTAATCTTCAATGGCGTCATTATTAGGAGCAAACACAGTGTAAGCATCTGCAGTCTCAATTGCACTAGCCAGATTGTATTGCTGCAAAGGAAAGACATGAGAGCCTGTGAGGGACTCCAGTTCCCAGGCAACCTGATGAGATGCTTATGCAAAGAACATGGTACTTACAATGATATAGCCCCGGAAGATGGAATAGTCAGGCATCTGGTCCAGCCGGGTGAGTAGGTTTGGTAAGGAGACAGTTAAACCTCTTTGGGGAACCAGCACCTGGGAAAAGAAGCCCCAAATTTTGTTTAGCGTATTTTGGTAGCATTTGCTGTTTATTGATACACACAGAAAGTCCTGTTGCCTTCTTTAGGCAGTTAAAGGAATTGGCTCTGAAAATATTTTGATTATTCAGAGAATAAAATTGTTGCCGTATGAGAGTGATAAGACTAGATGGAACTTGAAAATGTTAGTTCATTTTTAAGTCTTGTTCTTGAATTAATTCTCCCATTTAGAGAAAATTTCAACTTGTTCCAAAAGTTGTTATAGACCCCTCTAAGGAATAAATTCTAACTTTTATTAATCTATCCTGTCAGGAAACATTCTTCAAATTTGACTGGAATGCAACAGGCTGCAGTGAAAATTCACTTTCTTTTGTTTCTTCTTCATTTCTTATCCTGGGAATTTTAAGTCTATTTCAACCAACCAAACTGAATTTGCTTACTTCATTCAGGGTAATAAAAATAAAAAGAGATGGCAATTTTACATAAAACAATTAGATATATGACATGTGTATGCTTGCGCTACGGCCTTGTGCAAACTAGTCAAACAACCTACTGTTGATCCACTCCCCCAGCTCTCTCTTGTTTATTGTCATCATCATCATCATCATCATCATCATTGGTATTTTTGAGACAGGGTCTGCCATGGTCATCATCATCATCATTGGTCTTTTTGAGACAGGGTCTTCCTGTCATCATCATCGTCGTTGTCATCATCATCATCATGGGTCTTTTTAAAAATATTTTATTATTTTTGTTCTATGTGTATGAGTGCACTGCCCACATGTATGTGAGTGCACCCGTGTAGTGCAATGCCTCGGAGGTCAGAAGAGGGCTTTGGATTCCCCTGGACTGGAGTTAAGGATGGTTCGTAGCCGCCATGTGGATGCTGGGAATTGAACCCGGGTCCTCTTCAAGAGCAGTCAGTGCTTTTAACCGTTGAGCCATCTCTAGGCCTCCATCATTGGTCTTTTTGAGACAGGGTCTCCCTGTAGCCCCAGATGGCCTAGAACTAGCTATGTAGGCCAGGCCAACCTCCATCTTACAGAGATCTGCCTGCCTCTGCCTCCCAAGTGCTGGAATTAAAGAGGAGCACAACCATGCCTGGCTTGCATTCTCATTTTTCAAACAGGGCCTTGCCATGTAGCCCAGGCTGACTTCAAACTCACGGTGATTCTCCTGACTCCACTTCCTGAACACCAGGAGTAAAAGCATGTACCACTAGCCCCAGGCTGGACGCTTGGTCTCCACTGCCACAAACACCACTCCGGTGTGGAAAGCACCACAGTGGTTTCAGGTTTGAGGGTACACGCTCCCTCTTCCCCTCCCCCACCGCCTCATCAGGCACTTCACTCATACTGTCATCTATCTGGTTCAAACGGAATTAGAGTTTGCAAATCCAGAACGGTTAATCAACACTTTGGCCAAGATAACAAATTCCATCTTCTCATTATAGAACCTTCTCCGATGAAAGACCCCCAACACTGGAACATCTTTAGTCTTTCGCTCAGCACAGATCAGGCTTAGCAGTCGCGTGCCCCGCCCCCCCTCACTGTCACGAGGGACTCATAGGCCACGGGACCCGCCATCTCAGCCACCATATATGGGAAGGAAGTCTCGAGTCGCCCACGGGCTGGAGCAAGGCGGGAGCGGAAGGAGTGGGTCAGGGATGGCCCAGATCCTCTTGCCTACTCTATGCCTATTGGCTGCTGCCAAGGAATGCAAATGAAGACACGTCACTTCCTGAAGTGTCTGGGCGCCATTTTCTCTCACACGCGCAGGAGCAACGGCTGGCTGCTGTCGGGCTGGTGCTAAGGAGCTGACTAGGGTCTCGGGGGTCTCCAAGGGTAAATGAGAGTGCGGTGGGGCCCGCGCGAGCTGGGGCTGGTCTCGGGCTGGGTGTGACTGGAGGGTGAGGTGCTAGGCTCGGGCCGGGTGGGGCAGGGTGTGAGGGGGACGGGTGTGACTAGAGCTCGTGCGCAGAGCACGAGGTGGCTGGGGTGTGAAGCGGGCCAGCCCAAGTACAGAGTGTGAGGTGGTCGGGGTGTGACTGGAGGGAGGTGAGGTGCTAGGTTCGAGGTGGCCAGGGTATGACTGGAGCTCGAAGTGGGGCTGGGTGTGAAGTGCACTGGCGTGTGACTAGGGGTGGAGGTGCTAGATATGAGGCAGGGTGTTAGGTGGGCTGTTGTGAGACTGGAGGGCCTGGTTGCTTAGGGCAGGTGTGAGGTGGGTCAGGTGTGAGGAGGGCCAGTATGCACTGGAATAGGGGTCAAGTGTGAGGTGGGCCAGTGTGCACTGGAAGGCCAGGTGGGGGGGTCAAGTGTGGGGTGGGCCAGTGTGCACTGGAAGGCCAGGTGGGGGATCGTGTGAGGTGGGCCAGTGTGCACTGGAAGGCCAGGTGGGGGGGTCAAGTGTGAGGGGGGCCAGTGTGCACTGGAAGGCCAGGGGGGGGGGGGTCAAGGGTGAGGTGGGCCAGTGTGCACTGGAAGGCCAGGGGGGGGGGGGTCAAGGGTGAGGTGGGCCAGTGTGCACTGGAAGGCCAGGGGGGGGGGGGTCAAGGGTGAGGTGGGCCAGTGTGCACTGGAAGGCCAGGGGGGGGGGGGTCAAGGGTGAGGTGGGCCAGTGTGCACTGGAAGGCCAGGGGGGGGGGGGTCAAGGGTGAGGTGGGCCAGTGTGCACTGGAAGGCCAGGGGGGGGGGGGTCAAGGGTGAGGTGGGCCAGTGTGCACTGGAAGGCCAGGGGGGGGGGGGTCAAGGGTGAGGTGGGCCAGTGTGCACTGGAAGGCCAGGTGGGGGATCGTGTGAGGTGGGCCAGTGTGCACTGGAAGGCCAGGTGGGGGGGGTCAAGTGTGAGGTGGGCCAGTGTGCACTGGAAGGCCAGGTCGGGGGGAGGGTCAAGTGTGAGGTGGGCCAGTGTGCACTGGAAGGCCAGGTGGGGGGGGTCAAGTGTGAGGTGGGCCAGTGTGCACTGGAAGGCCAGGTGAGGGGGTTCAAGTGTGAGGTGGACCAGTGTGCACTGGAAGGCCAGGTGAGGGGGGTCAAGTGTGCACTGGAAGGCCAGGTGGGCCAGGTGTGAGGCGGGCTGCTGTGGGACTGGAAGGCCAGGCCGTGGCTGGCCAGTTTGGGACTGGAGGGTGGGGCTTGGCTGGGTGTGCGGGTGCTGATAGGATTCCTAATGCCAAGGTGGAGAACGGTACCACTGAGACAGAAGTTCTGTTGTTACAGGACAAAATCTCCAGAATGTTTCAAAATCCCGTGGACGACACCGAGTTCGTGCGGGGCATGAGGCCCTGGGTGAAGGGCGTTCTCCAGTCGGTGGGACGCCGCAGCTGCCAGGAGCTACTGAGGAGCCTGAACGGCTTCGGCCCAGAGGACAGGTACTTCTATAGCACCTCCTGGCCAGATGTTTCTCCCCAGAAACTTTCCAGAAAGAAAAGCAAGAAAAGCTACCGAACCAAGCTGTACTGCTGCAGTCTCTGCAAGTACTCAACCAATGTGCTCACTTATTTCAAAAATCATTTTCATCACTGCCATGAAGAGGAGGCCGTTGGAGAGCTGCAGGTCCTGTGTCCGGAGTGCTCCTTCTTCTCTCAGCCAGAGGTGGTGAGCAGGCACTTCCAGCTGTTCCACCAGTCAGCTGGGGCCAGGCCGAAGGTTGCAGGAAAGGGGAGGTCATCCAGGACTGGCAAGAAATGTTTCATATGTCTAAAATGTAACTTTTCCAGTACTTTGTTCTGTAGCATGAAGAAGCATGTGCTGTTGACCCATTTTCACTACTTGCTTAACACCTATGTTGGCCTTCATACTAGGGGGCAGCTGGAAGTTAGGGGGCAGGAGGAAGCTAGGGGACAGTGGGCAGCCAGTGATGTTCTTCCTGTGGAGAATACTCTGCCACCTGAAAGATATTATTGTAAAAAATGCAATGCCCACGAGAGCAGCCAGGATGATCTGATGTCCCATATTTTGATGTCAGGTGTACATGAGGACTTGGAGAGGAAGCTGAGGTCCATGATCTCAGAACAGAGTAAGAGGGCTGGGCTTCTGAAGCAAACGCGTAGTGCTCCAAAGCCAAGGGCTGGCTTGTTTAGACAGCCAAACAGAAGTGCTTCCCACGTGACGTCCCCTGCACAGCCACCTCCCTTCCACCTGGCCTTGCCACAGAATAGTGGAAGTCGGGCTGTGGTGCAGGTAGTGACTAGGGCCCCAGGTCCTTCCTGGAGTCTTACTCGTTCATTGCCCACCACTGTGCCATCCCACCTGGCTGAAGTCTCTAGCCCTCTACCTTTGGGCCAGACCAACTTCACCACCCTGCAGCCTTCAGCTCCCTCGCTTGTCTTTTACTCAGGGAAGGCTCCACATAATCAGCCTGTAAACCTGCCTGTGCTGCCCCTGGGTCAGCCACTTGGGCCTGTGAATAAATCTGTTGGAATCAACATTCTCCCAATGAATCAAGCCATCCAACCTGAGGTTTTACCTCTCACACAGCCCATAGGGTCTACAAGCAGATCAGTGGCCCCTCCAGAGAGACTGGTGAGGCCTATAAGCAGGCCACCGGGGCCTCTAGTGAGACGGGGAGGACCTATAAGCAAGCAGATGAGGTATGCTATCCTGCCTTCTGGTCTCTCTGTCAGTCCTGGAGTTCTGCAGACCACCTCATCAGGAGTGATTTCTGTGAGTCAGGCAGTCCCGTTGGCAGTCCTTCCTGCAGGTCAGGTGACCCCTGCTTCGGTGATTCCTGCACAGACGGCAGTTTCTGGGACCCTTCCTACAAGCCAAGTGGTCCAGTCAGAGCTTTTCCATGTAAATCAGACAGCCCCATTACAGGTTCTTCCCTCTGGCCAGACAGTGCCCTTCGGGGTTTTCCCTGCACGCCAAGTACCATCATCTGGGCTGCTGTCCCCCAAATGGCTGGCAGTCTCAGGTGTCCCTGTGAACCAAGGTGTGAGCTCTGGTGTTCTTCAGCGTGGTCAGTCCACGACATCAGAAGTCCTTTCTGCAGGCC